CCCCCCCCGCCCCCCCCCCAAAAAAAATAAAAAAATAAAATCAGGTAAGCTTTATGGAACATTAGAAAACACCAGAACACTAGAAAAACTTCTAAATCTTTTTAATAGTAGTTTAAATGTTCAACAAAGCCCATCTGTAAAAGTAAATACTGAAAAATGTTTCTCAAATTAACTGCATACAAATCCAGAAAAGTTTTGAGCAATAGTATTGTAACAGTGTGCCTATCTGGCATGTAAGGCCTGGCTGCCTTTATATAGCTTGCCAGTGAGAGTACATATGACCAGTACAAAGCAGATAAAGGTTAAGCATGGCATGCATCTCACCTATGCCATTTCTACAGCATTCAAAAGCAAGCCTCGATTCAGTGCAGGACAGATATCACAGAATCATCTAGGTTGGAAAGGACCTTGAAGATCATCCAGTCCCACCATTAACCTAGCACAGACAGTTCCCAACTACAGCATATTCTTGAGCTCTAAATCAACCCTACTCTTAAACACCTCCAGGGATGGGGACTCCACCACCTCCCTGGGCAGCCCATTCCAACACCCAACAACCCCTTCTGGAAAGAAATGCTTCCTAATATGCAGTCTAAACTTTCCCTGGTGCAACTTGAGGCCATTCCCTCTTGTCCTATCACTTGTTACTCGGTTAAAGAGACTCATCCCCAGCTCTCTGCACCCTCCCGTCAGGTAGCTGTAGAGGGCGATGAGGTCTCCCCTCAGCCTCCTCTTCTCCAGACTAAACCCCCCCAGTTCCCTCAGCCGCTCCCCAGCAGACCTGTGCTCCAGACCCTGCACCAGCTCCGTTGCCCTTCTCTGGACACGCTCGAGTCATTCAATGGCCTTTTTGTAGTGAGGGGCCCAAAACTCACTACATATATAACCCACTCCAAAGCTAATGGCCTTGAGGGCAAGGATTGTTCCTTAGCACCAGCCCACAAAGAATGTCCTGATGTAGCTTCAGATTTTTTCCAATGCATTCACCAACACACAGGTCACAAAGCTTTAAAATATTCAGAATCACTTAGGGAAAGCAAGTTACATACACAAGATAAGCTTTTTATTATTCATGAAAAAAAAGCAGAATACTGAAAACACCAGTATACACAGGAACATTTTTAATTCCAAGAAAATGCAACCAGTTCTCTCACTTTCATGGATTAAAAAAAAAAAAAATCAAAGTAATCAATGACACAGTAAACAAATGCAGAAATACATTTTAAGAAATACAACCAAATAACAAACAGTAGTTTCCAATTAAATTTTACCAAATGAAAACAGTGGTTTTGCTCAAAATTAAGCTTACTCAAAAACAAATAGGAAAACACACATAAACTTCTAAATCCTAAATAAATGCCAACTTCTTTCAACTAGACTACAATTATAGCCCCTCTTCTTACAAGAAAAATGCTATTACAGCTGAGGTTGGAGACAGAGGAAGTACACACCAAAGAAAGAAGACTGGGAATAAAATCTATACACAGACATCCCAGCAACTTAATCTAACAATCATAACACCTTGTAATTCACTTCTGAAAAATCTGTATCCACAGTGGCAACAAAAGCCATTATCTATACCTACAGGTGCAGCATAATCCTGAAATATTTTTAATTATCTAGTTTCTACCTCAAGCACTTTGGGTATCAGACCTTCATAAACGGAATTACTATCGCAAGCTAGACTCATAATGAGTTGAAAATACAACACACATTCTTGCAAATAAATCTACCATTTGCAGAACATAAAAATAGTACACACACCTCTTCTTATCACCTATCATTTCTAGACTCCATTTTGTGACATTAGGTATGCAGTGTTCTGCAACTACACACAAATTAAGGCATAACATACTTTACATCAGCAAAACAAAATCTAACTTAAAATATGCAAGCTATTTATTAATACCACACCATCAGGACTGGTATTTAGGGTATCAGATGATCTTTCTTCTTAAAGACACCCAAGCACCTGCTGTTCCAACTGAATGACAGCCAGAAGTTGCAATCAGAGTTAATTAACCCTGAAGTGTCAATGCCTCTATATGAAAATAAAGTTATTTGGCATCACAATGAATGTACCCAGTGAAGTAAATCTGAAGCTATCACTCAATACAAGTAACGTTGCACAATACAACTTTTGTGTTTTAACATAAAATCAAACAGTGTGTCAAGCTACTGACAAAAAGCATGACAGGTAAGTTTATAATTTTAACTAGGAAAAACTTCAAATTCTGCAGTAATATAATAAAATGCTGCAATATAAAGAAAACAGTTAATCACAAATGGTTACAGAAAACCCCTCTAATTAATACATTAACCTAATGGTTCTGATACTTCTGAAATAAGGCAGCACCTACTTCTGGAGTAGACTGCGTGGCCAGCAGCAATTAAGGCACGAGCTAGACTGTAGCCCTCACACAGAACATCCACCTCCAATTTCATTTCAGATCCATAGTGTTTAAAATGAAATACCAGATCAGGTTTAGTAATAAATGTCTGAAACAGACGTTTAGCTTCATCACTCCAATATTCCGCCTTGTCAGGAACTGTATCATGTAAAGAGCAAGGGTATGCCAAGCGTGGTAAGACAGACAGACTTTCTGGAATAACTTTAAGTTTATGGATATCAGAGTAAGGGATGCTCTTCAAAAAGCCATAATCAATAAATGTAAGAACAACAGACTGACTTGTTACTTCACTAATTTCTGCCCTGTTCCAGTGTGCTTCCAGTCCAAACTTGATCAAGCAGCTAGCACCAGGAGCCACAACTTCTTCTGGCAAAGCTGGCAAGTTCTCAGGAAGGTCAGAGAGCAGCAAAGACAAGTTTTGCATGCAATCAAATAAGATTTCAAACTGGATGAAGAAATTTGAAGGATCAGTAACTGCAGTTGCAAAGCCAGAATACCTTCTGCCGCTCTTCAGCAGCATCCATGTGACTGAATTTATCTTGACTGATGTATCAAACTCCTTACAGTCTGTATTACTGCATTCTTCTGGTCTGCTAGTCTGACCATGACTTAAGAGCTGGTTCAAATACTCTTGAAGCAGTATTTCCCCTATTATAATATCTACCTCCCAGATATGAGAGGATTCCATGTATCTCAAAAACAAGATCCTTACTTCATGATCCAGGAGTGTATTTACTACATGGACAAACTGAATTTTCCTCAGTTCTTTAAACCAAACCCATTTACAAGACACAGCTTGTTTAGGAATACTTTTAATATTGTCACTAATCATCTTTGCATTATTTAAAGACACCATCTCACACTTGCCATAATCCACAAAAAGAACTAGCATTAACTTCTCCCTGACAAATTTCTTTATCACTTTTGATCGATACCACTTCAAGTTCCTTTCAGATTTTGTCATGCATTCCAATCCTTCTTCAATGTCATCCACTCCAAGCAAATCACTTCTTCGTGCTTCTCTGACAAGCATTACATTTAATTCATGTAATATTTGCAAGTTCCTAAGCAACTGTACATGAAATTCTCCAGTTTCTGAAATATGAATTATTTCTACTCCTTCTACCTGTCCAGAATTTAGATCTTGAGGAAGGAGATTTAAGGGTGTTTTGGAAGTATTTTTCATCCCACTAGCCTTAGCTTTACTTTCACCAATTCCTAAACCATTCCTAGATTCTCTGACTTGAGGATTACCATTTGTAACCAGAGTTTGTTTTGGCTTATTTTCCCAATTATGCATTGGTGTGTTTTGCCACCTTGTCCTGCCTTTTTCCTGCAGATTATTAGACATAGACTTTCCATCCCAAATTACACCTATTTCCCATTGTTCTCCATGTTGCTGCAAGAACTTGCAAGTAACTAGCTTGTTATTTGTTCTGCTTACAAAATAGGAAGTACTTTTTTTAATCCAGGTTTCATCACGACTACTTTTTACTCCTCTAAGGAAACAATGAACACTTAGCCTTGGCAAAGTTAAAAACTTTTTCTGAATCCTGCCGATTTTTGAAGGACTTACAACTTCCACATTACCATAGTCAATGAACTCTACCTCAAAGGAGTTTCCTGATTTCAGAGTTTTAATAACTGCTCTGTAGTAAAAACAATCAGCAGCATGCTCTGCAACAATGAGATCACCTACCATGAGCTCATCTAAGCAATTTTCATGACCTATATTCACCATGCTTTCATTTAGTTCTTCTGCTAGTTTTATTATTAGGTTTTCATCTTCTGCAAGCTGAATATAGAAGCTTGATGGACTATTCATATGAGAAATATATGCTGCTACTTCAGAATTCACCTGAATATCACGTTGAGGAAGACTGATTAATTTAGGTATATTTTCATTTCTCCTTACCTGCTGACCTGTACAGTTTAGTCTTTCATTAAGAGATCTGGATGGAGCATTTACAGTTATTTCCTTTGAATTTAAAGCAGGATGACAGAGTGAGTGAGAAGGAGGCTCTACAAATACAGGTTCCTCTCTGTGCTCCAGAGCACTGACTGTATTTCTAAAACCTGTTTCTTCACTGTCCTGTAAAGTCACCGATTTTGAGGACCCACTACACAACTTTTGTGTGCTATGGGCCATTTGCTCTTCATCTCCACAATTCTGCCCAGCATCTGTCTGATAATACTTATCATATATTTGGCATTTCACTTCAGTTTTTGATTTAATTCTTTTAGGATTTTTAACAGTTACTTTATTAATGTATTTGTCATGTGACATATTTGTCATGTGACATATCACTTCCCCCTTACTTCCACTAAATTCTTCCAAATAATTTCTTGGTGCCAATTCTTCCGATATTTTTTCTTTAATCTTCTGACTTACTTTGAGCTGTCCATCATATAACTCCACAACAATCTGCCCATCTGGTTCTCTGGATATAATTACAGCCTTCAGCAGTTTACCAAGGAATGTTTCCTCAAACCATCTAGTAACACTTGCTGGAATTTTTGTCTCCCTAACATCTGACAGACAGCATTTAATAGCTTGCATGGGCGTGAACATTAGGTCAGGGGCAGACTCTGGAATAGGCATCAACTGGTCTCTTTCTACCATATTCTTATTTCCAAAATCCACAAAGTCAGCACATAGATAGGGAGCTGATTGCACAGGAAAAACCAAAGCTCTATAAAATAGACCATCTTCAAAATATCTGGCTATACATATTCGCATATTGCTGGTATCATATTTTGAAATATTTGACATTTTACTTACGACACTAACCTTCTTCGCCAATTCCTCTATAGTTTCAGTGTTTCGATTAAGCTGACAATAGAATTTTGAAGGACTATGTATGTGAGTTATATAAACCTCCTCCTCACTTCCAGTTTGTATATTAAAGGATGAATAGCAAAAACTGTACAGAGAACCCAAAGATGCAAGGTTTCTCAGACCAATATATTCAGATTGAGTGAGACCACGTTCTCTGAGGAATTCCTCTGCACTAACAAATGGAGTCTGTAAGTCAACTACATTGCATAAACAGCCGGGGCTTACAAGAACCAGAGCACAGATGATGCAAGTCAGTGGTCCTCTAGAAGCAGAAATAAAGTCTTCAAAATGTCTACACACTTCAGACCAATTAAATGAGTTGACCTGTAAGGGTACATTTTTAAGTCCACAACGAAACGCTTGACCTTCCAGAGTTAGGAAATCTGGAAGAACAGCTTGAAGATCTTGAAGTAAAACTCTTTCCCGATAACCATAGTCTACAAAAAACACATCAACTTCATTTGTGGATACTTGCTGCACAACGCTTGCTCTGTACCATTTCCTATCTTTAGAATATTTAACAACACAAGCAACCTGTCCAGTTTTGTAGGGACTGGTATGCTCCCTATAGTAAGTCTGAATTTGTTCCATTAAGTTATTTAGCTCTGGCAGTTTGCTTTGCAACTGACATGAAAAATCTGCTGGGGAAACAACGTAAGAGCACACCACTTCAAGAACAGCTCCTGGTTCAAACACAAACTCTTTATAAAATAATTTTTCCTCAGATATTGATTTACACCTTTTAGGGATAGCACCCTTCCCAAAACATGACGGTGCACCAAATTCTCTCAGCACTGAAGGCACACTTAATGATTTTTCCTTCTGAAATACCTCTCCATTTCTGGATACCTTATTTTTATGAGTATTACGGATTCTCTGTGTGTTTACTTTTATTAATTTGCAGGGATTCAGATTTTTACATTTTCTTGAGTTTAGAACAGAATCTGGTGTCTTCTCCCAGTATTCAGCGTATCCAACTTGAGCCATACACATGGCAACATCTTGCTGCAAACCATTCCTACACTGCACATTAACAACATGCTTCTTGTTTTGCTTTCCAATGACATGAAGCAGCAGTAGTTTGTCACACACAATGTTTTTGAAGAAACTGGTTTCCTTTTTAACCCACACATCATCAACAGGAAATGCACGAGCAAGTGCACAACACATAGCTAAAGCTGGTAAACTGGAAAACTCCGGAAGCAACATTTTCACATCATAACAGGGTACTGTGTCTGTGTTTCCAAAATCAAAAAAATACACGGTAATGTCTACATGACGCACTTCAGTGACAACACCCCGATAATAATGCCTGTCTTTGCTATACCGGGCACAGCACAGCAATCCAGGTTCTGGCTTTTTAAGGACCATTTCATCAGCTCCACACTGATTGTATGTATCTGCAATATCTTTCATCAAGGCTTTAAATTCATCCTGGTATTCACACAGTTGAACCCAGAAGTCAGATGGATTTATGACATGTACCACAAAAGCAGTATGAAAAGAATTTATTTGCATTTCTACTGTTTTGCAGCAGCTTGACAAAGAAATATCCCGTTCAGGTAAGCAATTTTGTGTCTGTTTATTTTCAGTACAAGTCTTAAATGAATGGTATCTCTCATTACATGGTCTCTGGTTCACAGCAATACTTGCTATTTTTGTTTCCAGAAGTGAGACACACGATGCAGCTGCCTCATCCTGGTTTTCTGGATGCTGAGCATTAGTTCCAAGATTTCCATTTTGCAGCGTAATATAATACAAGTGTTTAATGTCACTGAATAAATCAACATGGACACACACAGAAGTTTGTTCTATCAAGGCCTGCGTAAGTTTTTTCAGCTGAATTTTTATTGCTGTTTCATCCTGACCACCACAACAAGACAGTGTACATGGAAATGAAATCATTGGTAATGCCAGGAACTCTACTTTGAGTTTCTGAACGTAGCTAGATGGCACGGCTTCAACACTGCCAAAATCCATAAACCAGACTTCCACATGGTCAGAGATAAGACGTTTTATCACTCCTCTATTCCACTGTCCATTCTGCCTTTTGGCAGCACAGAATAGCCCTAAGCTATCAAAAGATTTATTATTTTCTGTACTGGTAGCTTCATAGTACAAATGCATAGCTTGTGTCAAATCTTCAAACTCCTTCTGCCATTTCTGTATCTGACAGTAAAATTTATTTGGGTTTACTGCAGCAGTTATTTTTACATTTTCCTTACTGCCAACAGTTAGACATGGAAAGAGATCATCTAGAACTGGCCAAAAATCCATTGGTTTCTCCGAACTACTGAAAGTAAGCAACTCCTTAACTGTACACTTCTGCTGCAACACCTGTGGTACTCTTTTAGAAAGTGTTTCTTGAGGAAACACTTTTAACGTTTCTACAATAAGGCAAAATGAATCTCCATCAATAAATTTTCCTAATCGCAGTTCAAGAACATCTCTAATGATCTTTGGCACTTCTAGAATGAACAGTTCATATGGTATAACAGCTTTCACACAACCTCTAATCGTCAATCCTACCAGAGATGAAAAATAATTAATGGCTTGTGGATGCCATTTTTCCCCAAGAGGAAGTATGCTTGCAAAAACACCCAAAACCACCTTTGGAGGCAGCTGAAACAATTCATCACAAGCAAAAGCAAGATGCATTTCCTCAACTACTAGCACTTGACCAGTGTCTATAAGAAAAACCTGACAGGTATTTTCTCTCTTTTCCAGAACTCTTCCTCTATGCCATTCTCCTCTTGTGTCTTTCACCAAACAAGGTCCACCAACGTAAACATTATCTTTTACTTTGAATATTCGTTGTATTTCATTTTGTAGTATGCAATAGTCAAGTTCACATTCCACTTTGCGTTGACCCTGGAATACTACAACCAAGCATTCGGCATGGCATTCTATACAAGTTATCTTCAGATTCACATCTGTGTTTGACGAGGGAGTCAGAGATTCCATCCTGTCTGCAAAGAAGATGAGTAATATCAGCCTGATAGTTTTCTGGGGTTTTTTTTTTGTCAACTGATTCCTTATATTAAATCTCTTTTCAAAATAATAGCATATTATTACACAATGAAATGAAAGCAATTCATATCATTTATACAACCTCTGCTCATCTCAGAAATGTTACTTATATTGAGTAAATTTAACAGCAAATCTCTCCAAAGGAGATCTAATTCAGTGTTTCGTTGCACCAGACTTGCAGTTACAAGAACTGTTTACCTGCAGAATTACTTCCAATTGCTTATATTTCTTTTTAATGTGTGAATGACCAAGGGCTCCTCCCCTACTCGCTCTGCTTCTTCTGTGTAAATCACTTCTTCAAATAAGTGACATCTTATAGATTTACAGTTTACTTAATCTGGATTTACATACAGTATCAGGTATGGCTGTAGCATATTTAAGTTTTTGTAACTGTAAGGTCATACATTAACACATTATCTATGTCCAACATTTCTGCACTGCCCATCAACTAACAATTGTGCCTGGTGTATTTTATACTGTCTTAACACTCAAATTCTGACAATTTACATGTTTTCAAACCCTTCAGGTATTTCCGGCCTTCATCTATAAACTGGTATTCAAGATCACCTTTTAGTTCCATTCAAATTTATCAATATATCAGTGATTTTACACTGTTTAAAGAGACTGCACGTGCCCATAATTTAACCAAGCACTTCTATGAAACAAATGCTGTTCTGGCAAAGTAATTAGGGGCTGACAGCATCATTCAAATGCAAAGATAGCAGACAAACACACAAGGATAGACTGGACAAAGCAGATGCTTGATTTATTAACTTTTATGTAAACTTAAAGGTGAAGCTTTCAGTTTCAACCACAAGCTATGAGAGCAAGATTTTTCTCAGCCTGCAAAAAATCTTTAATGGAACTGCCATAATAGTTTTTAATCATAAGAATGCATGAAGTACCTAGCGATCTTACAAATTGTCTTCAGAATAAATAGTGATACCTATCCCTCTAGTTCCACCAAAACCAAAAATTAATAAATAAATGAGCACTCCTATTGTAAAGCTTACCAGAACATCTCAAGCAGGGGTATGACTTCTCAAAAAAAGAAAATAGATTACTTTAAAAAAAACAGTACCACCATCTACCCAAAAAAGCCTTCCAGTAAAAACAGTATCAAACCCAGATCTGACAAAATATCTGCTTAAACAAGCCCCCTTTTTTTCACTTCTCCCTGTCATACAATATAAAGTTAAATCCTGAGGGTATTTTTAATTAAAGAAAATGCCCTTCGGGAAAGGATTCTGTTTGCCTGGAAGACACACCTGATCATTAAAGAGAATCAAATTTTTAAAGGTGCACCGCTGATTCTTTGGGCAGCTTTTTTCCTCATTGAAACAAAGCTCTGGTTGCAGAAACATGTAACAAAAACAATTTGTGCAACGTTTGGTTTCCCGTCGCCAGAGACCACATAACAGCATCACATTGATACAGTCATTTCTACAGTTTACAAGAGTTTTTTTTTTACTCACCTACATACCAGTTAAGATTTATTTATTCAGAACCTTCGTATACCTCAGCCCTCTTATTAGCAACTCTGCATCTCCACAAGATGATAGAAAAAATCATTAGAGAAATAAACTCAATTGTTCTACCACTGCTCTGAATTCTCCCCTTCTCCAACAAAGACACCCCGAGTTTCTCACACACACAGTTTAACTGCAAATGTTAAGATTTCAAGGAAAAAAATAAATTACAAAACTGTATCCACCTTCCTAAAACCACATTAAGACCATTCTTTTCTTCACTGTAGCTCAAAAACGACACCAGTCAGGACACTACACAGATAACCCACCATGTACCTTCTACGCAACAGTGGTCACATATTTACTTTTGTTTCATACAAGCATATTTTTATTTTTGATCGCTTCAGCTATCAAAACCTCTACCAAGCACTACTACCACACAAACTTACAGCATAATTAAAGGACTTTTAAATGCAACAGGTTAGGCTCTCTGCGCTTCCCTCCAAAGCGGCAGTTGTGACAGGGGCTGCCTACCACCCCCGGCAATGGTCGCCTAAGAGGAGCAGGGCGCGGAGCCGGGCTCGACGCGACAACGCGCGGCGCGGATGGGCAGGCGCTGCCGCCGCCAGGCGCGACCCCGAAGTGAAGACCGCCACCCTCGCAGCAGCAGCTTCTCACCACTCACAACCGCGCGAGCTACGTGTAAAGGCCGTAACCACCAGAACACCATCATTTCACGCCGCCCAGACACCGAGCGCAGCAACCCACCTCCGTCGCTCAGCCCGTCATTGACAAAATGGCGGCGCACAGCGGAGCCCTCACACGGCGGCCGGCAAGGCGCACGCGCTCCCG